CGAGATGGTTTCTAAATTCAGGTGGAATATAATCAAGGCCATACTTTGGCTCTTGTGGATTTGTTTTAATTTTCTTCAGCTTCAACTTGAACTTGCATATGAGCAATTGATGGTTTGTTCCACAGGCAGCCTCTGGCTTTCTTCTGACTGATGATACTGAGCTTTTCCATCAACTCTTTCCACAGATACAGTCGATCTGATTCCTGTGTATTCCATCAGGCGGGGTCCACGTGTACAGTCATTTATGTTGTTGAAAAAAGGTATTTGCAATGACTAAATCATTAGTCTTGCAAAATTCTATCATGATATCTCCAGCATGATTTTTATCACCAAGGCCATATTTTCCAACTACTGCTCCTTCTTCATTTCCAACTTTCGCATTCCAATCACTTGTAATTATCAATGCATCTTGATTGCCCATTTGATCAATTTCAGACTGCATAAATTGGTAAAAGTCTTCAATTTCTTCATCTTTGGGCTTAGTGGTTGGTGTATACATTCGAACAGCAGTCCCATTAACTCGTCTTCCTTTTGGGCATATGGATATTATTCCATCACCGACAGCACTGTACTTCAGGACAGATCTTGACATGTTCTTTTTGTCCCATCTCAGGGTGTATGATGTAACCATATAGGATCCTGGGCAATGAGCCAAACATGTCACAAAACTTTAAAAGAAACATTTTAAAAGAGAACTTGGAAAAATAAAGTGAAAAAGTTTCATAAGAAAAATGAAAATAGTATATTTAGAATCTCATTTCAATAAGACTTAAAATTAATGTGCTATAAGATTTGAATCCAGAGGCTTTTGCCCAATAAAAATTCATTGTACTGTAAGCAAAAAGTATTCTCACTCTACTTTATGAGCCAGGAAACAATTACTATATTATCAAAGCATCGTAAAGCTATTTTCAAAACAACATAACATGTTTCAATAAGAGATGTGATTCATATTATTTGTGGTATTAGATTTTGTTTCAGCTTATTTATAAACCACTTGTAGGCCAAAATGCCTAGACTCTATTTAACTAGAGCAGGGGTCAGCAAACTATGCCTTGTGAACCAAATGTGACCTACAATGTGTTTTTTTTTTAATAATTTTTTATTGAAACTCATGTCCACTCATTTACATATTGTCTGTGATTGCTTCACGCTACAACAGCAGAGCTGAGTAGCTCTGAAAGAGACTGTATGGCCCACAAGACCAAAAATATTTACTATCTGGCCATTTATAGAAAAAGTTTGTTGATGCCTGATCTATAGCAATGGCTAAGCAGACCCCTGGGCATTCCCAGGACTGTTTCACAGGGTGTGCAAAGCCAAAACTATTTTCATAAAAATTCTAAAACATTATTAGTGTGTTGACATTTGCACTGATGCAAAAGCAATCAATGATGGATAAAACTGCTTATGCCTTGGCAAAAATAAAGACAGTGGAACCATCAGTACTAATGATCATTATATTCTTCGCCTTCACAAATTCAACATAAAAAAGAAGAAAAAACTACTTTCACTTAAGAATGTCCCTGATGGGCCGTCAAGTCAGTTCTGACTCATAGTGACCCTATGTACAACAGAACAAAACACTACCCAGTCCTGAGCCAAGCTCACAATCGTTGTTATGCTTGAGACCACTGTTGCAGCCACTGTGTCAATCCATCTCTTTGAGGGTCTTCCTCTTTTTCACTGACCCTCTACTTTACCAAGCATGATGTCCTTCTCCAGGGACTGATCCCTCCTGACAACATGTCCAAAGTACGTAAGACGCAGCCTCACCATCCTTCTTTCTAAGGAGCATTCAGTTTGTACCTCTGGTTGTACTTCTTCCAAGACAAAAAATTGTTAATTGTATTAAATTCCAACTCTTGAATTTATCTTTTTAATTACCTGTCTGATGAAACGGGAGATACAAGAGAGCACTTTTGCTGTAAACCAAAGTGCCATGGCTCTCAGAGGATAAGAATTTTTACAATAGTTGAATTGCAAGCTGAATTAGCATACACAGAATTTAACTCAAAATAGATCATAGACCGGAATGTAAAAGATAAAATTATAAAACTCTTAGGAGGTAATAACAAGTCAAGTCTTTGTGACCTTGGGTTAGGCAAACTCTTCTTAGATGACACCAAAAGCACAAGCAACCAAAGAAAACCTAAATAAATTAGACTTCATCAAAATTAAAAACTTTTGTGCCTCAAAAAACACAATCAAAAAACAGTCTAAAGATAATCTATAGAACACAAGAAAACATCTGCAAATCATGTATCTGATAAGGGTCTAATACTCAGAATATATAAAGAACTCTTACAACTCAGCAATAAAAAGACAACCCAATTTAAAGTGGGCAAAGGATTTGAATAGACGTTAGCCCAAAGAAGACACACAAGTGGCCAACAAGCACATAAAACACTCAGCAACATTAGCCATTAGGGAAATGCAAGTCAAATCCACAAGAAGATACCATATCACACCCAGTAGGATGATTATAATCAATAAAACAAAATAACAAGTGGTAGTAAAGATGTGGAGAAATTGGAAACCTCATTTTCTCAGTTATCTAGTGCTGCTATAACAGAAATGTCACAAGTGGATGGCTTTAACAAACAGAAATTTATTCTCTCACAGTTTAGGAGGCTAGAAGTTCAAATTCAGGGCACCAGACCCAGGCGAAGGCTTTCTCTCTCTGTCGGCTCTGGGGAAAGGTCCTTGTCATCAATCTTCTCCTTGTCAAAGAACTTCTCAGCGTAGGGATCCCAGGTCCAAACGACACACTATGTTCTCAGTGCTTCTTTCTTGGTGGTATGAGGTCCCTGTGTCTCTCTGCTTGCTTCTCTCTTTTATATCTCAAAAGAGACTGGCTTAAGACACAATCTAATCTTATAGATTGAGTTCTGCCTCATCAACATAACTGCCTCTAATCCCATCTCATTAATATCATAGAGATAGGATTTACAACACATAGGAAAATCACATCAGATGACAAAATAGTAGACAATCACATAGTACTGGGAATCATGGCCTAACCAAGCTGATACATATTTTTGGGAGACATAATTCAATCCATGACATTCTACCCTTTGGCCCCCCAAAACTCACATCCTTGCCACATGTAAAACACATTCACCCCATCATATCATACCAAAAGTCTTAAATCAACTCCAAGTCCAAAATCCAAAAATTCCTTTTCATCTGTGAAATCTAGATACACAAGTTATCTGCTTTCAAAGTATAACGGTGGAATAGGCACAAGCTAGATAATCCCATTACAAAGGGGAGAAATTGGAGGGAAAGAAGGGATAACAGACACCAAGCAAGTCAGCAGAACACATTACGTTAGCTCTCAAGGCTTGAAAATCCTGTTCCCTGAGATCACTGACACAAGGGCCCTGCCCTCCCGACTCCAGGTATTGGCCACACTCTACGGATTCCGAGTGGAGGCCCTTCGGCCCTGGGATTCAGCTCTGCCTTCCAGGCCCACTGGAATGGCAACTCTGCTCCCTCAGCTTTGGGTGGCCCCATTCTCCTAGTCCATCTGAATGGTGATTCCACCCTTTGAGACTAAGGCAGCTCGGCTTCCTGCGTTCCTCGTCTCTTCAGCTTCTGCTTCCCGGTTTCTTGGCGTCTCAGCCCTTCGGGTCTCACTGCCCGCATCTGCCCTGCTGGGACAAGTGTTTCAAAGCTCTGTAGCTCCAATGACAAGTGCCTGGAGGCACCCCACTCTGCCAGTAAAGTTTGGCCAGAAGGCATTCAGCTCTCCCGCTCCATAAGTCGGCACGCCTAGCTCCACCGATAAGTGCCTAGAGGCGCCCCACTCCACCAGGAAGCTTCCTGTGCCCTCGCTCATGGGTGGGCTCCAGCGCTGTGTCATGCTGGTCTCCTGGTTCTGCTGCTGCCAGTTCTTTGCTGCTGCTGATTCTCACCATCTGCACCGTTTCCAGTGTAATAGCTCTCCTCACTTCCTTCTGAGTGCTCACCAGAATTGTCGTTGATATCCATAATTCCACCAGCAGTCTCTTCAAGGCAATCTAGACTTTTACTATTAGGTACTTTAAAACTCTTTCAGCCTCTATCCATTCACAGTTTCAAATCCATTTCCACATTTTAGGTATCTGTTACAGCAGCACCCCACTCCAAGTACCAAATTCTGTCTTAGTTTTATAGAGCTGCTATAACAGTAATACCACAACTAAATGGCTTTAACAAATAGAAATTTATTCTTTCACAGTCTAGGAGGCTAGAAGTTCAAATTCAGGGCACCAGCTCCAGGGGATGACTTTCTCTCTCTGTCAGCTCTGGGGAAGTTCCTTGTCATCAATCTTCCCCAGTCGAGGAGCTTCTCAGCAAGGGACCCAGGGTCCAAAGGACACGTTATTCTCCTGGCTCTTGTTTTCTTGGTGGTATGAGGTTCCTATGTCTCTCTGCTCACCTCTTTTTTATATCTCAAAAGAGACTGGCTTAAGACACAATCTAATCTTGTAGATTGAGTCCTGCCTCATCAATATAACTGCCTCTAATCCCATCTCATTAACATCATAGAGATAGGATTTACAACACTCAGGAAAATCACATCAGATGGCAAAATGGTGGACAATCACACAATACTGGGAATCAGGGCCTAGCCAAGTTGACACACATTTTGAGGGGACACAATTCAATCCATGACACTCATCCATTGCTGGTGGGAATGTAAAATGATGCAGCTGCTGTGGAAAATGGTTTGGTGGTTTCTCAAAAGTTAAACATAGAATTAGCATATGACCCAGCAATTCCACTCCTAGGTATATAACTCAATGAATTTAAAACAGGTATTCAAACACTTATACACAAATGTTCACAGCAACACTCTTCACAATAGACAAAGGTGGAAACTGGACAATCCATATATTATATACAAACTTCTTTTAGCTGACACTGCCTCTCAACAAAATATCACCTTAAAAACTCTTCAGATATAATCATTTATGCCATAGAAAAATATCTTTGGGCAGTATATTCCATACCTTGTGGGGAGCCAGAATCCTCTGCCTGAACTTTTCAACTGCGTCTTGACCCACTGTAGACCAAGCACTGACAAATGCTTCTGCTTTGTCTTGTCTAAGATGAATGTTCTCTAACTGCTGCTGCAAAACTGCTGGCTTCACATTGTGATACACTGCCTATCAAATGGGAAAAAAAAAAATCACAAATAGCCCTAATATACAGAGATTGATAACTGTTATCTAATATAAAATTATTTTTAAATGATTTAAATTAATAGACTTTTTTGTATTACTATTAAAGAAAATTTTGGTTTACATATAATAATATATATATAACCAAGCACTGGAAGATACAGGATTCAACAGCCTAAGTTATTCAGGCTAAATTTTCTCATGTTTGCCTGAGGTTTAAGTAATCCTAAATCTCCTTAATAACTGAAAAGCTTCTTTGCTTTGGCTATGCTAATGGCAAAACCAAAAACCAAAAAAAACAAACCTGTTGCCATCGAGTCGATTCCCACTCATAATGACCCTACAGGACACAGCAGAACTTCCCTACAGGGTTTCCAAGGAGTGGTTGGTGGACTCAAATTGCCGACCTTTTGGTTAGCAGCCATAGCTCTTAACCACTGCCACTAGGGCTCCTATGTTAATGGTACCCTAATTAAAATTTTATTCAGTTATTTCATTTAATTATTTCAGAGAAATATACAATTTTTTTTCCCCAACTAACAAAATTTTTTCAGGAAGCACTTTCTCAAAGCTACTACCTTCATCTACCAAGTTCCTAATTGGCTACTATCTATTCTGCTCCCTATGTAAGGAGATAAAACAAAAATTATTAAGTTTTTTAGCAGTGATACCTGAAGTTCTGTTTATTACATGATTCTAGAACAACTTCCCTAGAAACCCATACTGTTCTGTCTTATACAATTATCCTTTCTTCTTCTGAAGGTCCAACAATGGTAACAACCACAGTCGCCTTTATGACCTATAATCTAGATAAGGCTGTAGGTAGTAGATGCCTGGCAACTTGTCCTCCTACTAAGTATCTATTCAACCAGAATGCTCATCAGGCTATAGTACTATTTACACCTTTGTTTCACACATTCTATTTACTCAATCAACAAGAATTTACCAAGGATCTATTTTACGCCCAGCTATGTGCTACACTATATAAGATATACAAAAATATGAACCTGGCTCCCCATAAATTCAAAATCTAGTTAAGGAGACATAACTGATACACATGAAATAATGAAAGAATAACAATGTGCTCTACTATGAAGAGCGAAGGATAACAGGAATCCAAACAAGGGGAACTATAATTACAAGGAAGGGATCAAGGCTGCAAAGGGTGGAGATGTGACTAGATTCAGAGCATAAATAACATACTGAATTTAGATGACAAAAGGGATGCAAATGGGCAGTTGAGGAGGAAGAAATAGTGTACAAAAAGTCCTTTGACAATTTCTTTTCTAAATGTTCTGCTCATTATTTTTGTCAAATATTCCCCCAAATCTTTTATTTTCTTAAATAAAATTGTTCATTTTTCCAAATTATACCAAGTAACAATAAATTCAAATCTTTTATAACTGTTTCAAGTCAATGAAGTCTTGATTCACACTGTCAAATATTTTGCTCATGCTATTCAACATTAAGATTGCTTTGTAGAATGCAATGTTGTTGTTGTTAGGTGCCATCAACTCAGAGCGACCCCATGTGACAGAGTAGAACTGCCCCATGGGGTTTTCTAGACTGTAATCTTTGTGGAAGCAGATCACCAAGTCTTTCTCCTGCGGAGCCGCTAAGTGGATTTGAACCACTAACCTTTCAGTTAGCAGCCAAGCACTTAACCGTTTGTGCAGCCAGAGCTCCTCTGTAGAACGCAATAGTGTGAAAACAATCATGTGTACATTCAATTTTTTTTAAATACCCTGAAATTCTTCTAAAATATACTAAAATATACTCAAAGCTTCCATCTTGCACACTTTTCTAAAAGGTAGAATAGACACCATAGTAATACAAACATGTAGTAAACAAACCACAGTTAGGAAATCAGGTGCAATAAAAAATACCTGTTCTAAAATGAATGATATTGTTTGAAGAACTAGGTGAAGGTCTTGTTTCTCTAGAGAAAATGCAGCTTGAAGTTTTTCTTCTTCTTCTTCACTGAAACTGCTCTCAGCCTACAACAAATAGCATATCTATTTGCACACATTCAGGTATTCAAAATTCAGATACTCAACAAAAGATTCATTTAGTCATATTTGGAATGAGAATTCAAAAAAAAGTGAATCGGTGGAGAAAGGAAACCTATAAGCTTGTAAATTTCAATATCTCAAAATCATAGCACAGTTTAGTTTCTTAGATTTGTCAAATAAAGTTTGTTTTAAATAACACTATTTTAGATTTTATGGTTTATAGTAGGTAGAAAAACAGTAAACACCAAAACAAATGGACACTTACAAAAAAATACTTGAAGATAAAACTCCAAAATGTTAACTGATAACAGTAATTTCTATCTTCATTCACTGAAAACTACTTACTGTCTATCATGTGCTATATAAACAGTTCATGTCCTTAGGTACAGTCTCAGAAAGACACATAAAAACAAGTAACTATATAAATAATTTCTATTTTGATGAGTTCTGCAAAAGTACAAGTGGCTATGAAAGTATATACAGGCAGAAACTAACATCAATTTTATAATTTCATTATTCTCCAACATTTCCATATAAGCACATATTTACTTTTGTAAGCTATACATGAGAGAAAGATAGTGATCTGAGATTCTCCAGAAGAACCTCCTTGATCTAAAGATACTGATTTACCAAGTATGAATAGTGTTTAAATAAAAAACAAATATTCCAGGGCAGAGTCAACATGGTACTGTACACAGAAGCATCACACTGTCCCTCCACAGCACAGACCCGAAAAACTAAGCAAAACAGAGACAAACATCAATCCTGGAACCCTAAGCATCAAATGACAAGATGAAGAACTCAAGCAAGCAATGAATGGAATAAAAAACTGACACAGAACACAGAGTGAGGAGAGATAAGAGCAGAGGTCCCCCATCAACTAACGCAGCACAGATTCGCCATCTTGAACTCCTGTCGGAGATCAGCGGGCAGGGAGTACAAGAAAGCAGCTTCACAGAGCTCCTAGCAGGAGACAGATCACCCAGTAATCATCGATATATGCTTTCCCACCCCCAACCCTTCTTCCCCCTGCTCAGCCTCCACCGCTTCCCAGCAGGCCAAGTGACCTCAACTTGGGAGGCACCGGCTCCATGCTGCTGTGATTCGCCCTGCCCACACTGGCCAGCTCCTTCAGTACCATTTCATTGTTGCTGGTGTTGTTTTTTCCAGCTTCTTTTGGTTTCTCCCCTGCCTCTCACCTGCTCCCTCTCCTGTCTCTCGGACACCTGGCTCCGTATGCCATCTTTGCTTCCTCTTGACAGACTGTGAAGTGTCGCTTGGCTGCAGAACAGCTTTCCCAGTCCTCATCACCATGCTGGTGGGATTCCCTGGGACCTACTGTTTTGTTTTGTTTGTTTGTTTTTTCTTTTCATAGCTTGGAAGCTCCTTCTAGCCAGGTGTACTACATGGCTTGGGAGACACATCCCTGGTCTGCACGGCCACACCGGTGGGATCCCTGGAGGCATGTCCTTCTCTCTTTCTTTATATTTTTCTTTTTCCCTTTTTGTCTTTCTTGATTTCTCAGTTTCTCATCTATCTACTTACTTTCTTGTCTCCTGAATACCTGGCACTGTGTGCCATCTCTGCCCCTTCTAGCTGGGCTGTACTGTGCAGCATGGGAGACCCTTCTCTGGTCTGCGCAGCCACCCTGGTGGGATCCCTGGGGGCATGTCTGCTTTTTTTAATTTTTCTTTTTTCCTTTTTGTCTTTCTTCATTTCTCAGTTTCTTGTCTCTCTACTTACTTTTTTTTTGCTGTCTCCTGAATACCTTCAAACTTGGCTGTACTGTGGCAAGGCCTGGGAGCCACTTCCCTGGCCTCTGCAGCTGTGCCAGAGGGATCCCTGAGGGCCTTTTTTTTTTCCCCCTTTCTTTTTCTTTATTTTTTTTCTTCTCACTTCTCCTTTTTATTTTTATTCATTTCTCGGTTTCTCATCTCTCCACTCAAACTGCAAACTCCCTCAGCACTTTTTTATGTTTATTTGCTTTTTTGGCTCCTGATTCTCTCTCCTCTCTCTTTTTTCCCATACATATCTTAGCTCCACACATCACAACCTCTCCCCTCCTTCCTGCCTACCTGCACCATGCGCTGAACATCACACCCCCGAGCAGCACCAGCACGGCCTACTGGAACCTGCCCTGCACTGACCCCCAGCCTACCCTGTCAGCTCCAGTATGTGCCACAAACAATCCATCTCAGCGCCTCCCCTTCAGATGGATCTGCTCAGCTGCACCATAGCTGAGCAACTGGCCCTTCCCATTGGACAAGAAGGTAAAAAGTATCGGGCCCACAGACAAGCAAACAACAAAGAATGCACAGCCTACCTGCTTAGACAAAACCAAATAAAACAAAAAAGCAGGATGAAGTGAACAAATCTACAATCAATAAACAAAGAAAATAACTACTGAATTTCCGGAAGACAGAAGGCAATATTAAAACATATAAAAAAAACTGGACACAATGGTTCCAGTAGACAACTAAAATAAAACACCACATGACTTTCCAGTAGAAGCAAAGGCACTGGAACTACCTGACAGGGAATTCAAATCTCTGATATTCAGAGCTATCAAAGAGTTGAAGCAAAAAGCAGACAAAAAGGAGGAAAAAATAGACAGATTCATGGAAAAGGCTGACAAATCCATGGAAAATACCAACAAAAAAATGGAAGATTCAGGAAAATAATACAGGTGTCAAAATAAATTGACAACTATAACTCGTACAAAAACAACAAAGAAATCCAAAAGATAAACAACAAGATTTTAGCAATGGACACTGTCATAGACGGTCTGAGTATCAGGTTTAAAACAATGGAAGACAAGATCAGCAAAATTGAAGACCAAAAATTGGATACCACTTTGAGGAAAAATCAGAAAAAAGAACGAAGCAAAATGAAGAAACCCTGAGAATGACATGGGATACAATCAAAAGCAAAAATTTGTAAGTTATTGGAGTACCAGAACAGGAGGAGAAAACAAAAAACACAGACAGGATCACTGCAGAATTGCTGACAGAAAATTTCCCTAATATCATGAAAGATGAAAAAGTGACCATCCAAGAAGCTCGACGAACACCATATAGAAGAGACCCCAAAAGAAAATCACCAAGGCATATCATAATCACACTCGCAAAAGACAAAGAAAGGATCCTCAGAGCAGCTCGAGAAAAACAAAAAGTCACATACAGAGTGGAAATAATAAGAATTAAGCTCTGATAACTCAGCAGAAACCACGCAAGCAAGAAGGCAATGCGACGTCATATACAAAACCTTGACAGAAAAAAATCGTCAACCAAGAACACATCATGCAAAAGTCTCATTCAAATATGATGGTGAAATTAGGACATTTCCTAACAAACAGAAACTAAGGGATTATGTAAAAACCAAACCAAACTTACAAGAATTATTAAAGGGAGTCCTTCCGTTTGAGAACAAACAACATCAGACCACAGCCTGAATGTAAGACACAAAATCACACCAGCCAGATACCAACCTAGGAAATGAACTCTCAAGGACTATTCAAAACCAAAAGATTTACAACAACAGGGAACCAGAGAGGTTAATCTGTAAATGACAACAACAGCAGAACAATAAAAGAGGGAATAAACTGTGTAGGTATAGAACTTTCTAATGAAGAGGAAGGCAATGTAATACCAACTAATAATAGACTGGGTCAAACCTAGGAAGATAAGGGTAAATTTCAAGGTAACCAAAAGAAAAGTTAAAAAACCTACTCATCGAAATAAAGAAGAAAAACATAAAAGTCTCAGTAAAAACAAAATCTACAAAAACAAAAGAAATGAAAAACAAAAAAGCCACAAACAAAAGGAACTCAGCACAGGAGAGTAAGAGGAACAAAGAAAACGTCCGTCCAAAAAAAAAAAAAGCACTACAAAATAACAGCAATAAGCTCACACCTATCAATAATTACACTGAATGTAAATGGCCTAAATGCACCCATAAAGAGACAGAGAGTGACAGAATGGATAAAAAAAGGATCTATCCATATGCTGTCTACAAGAGACACACCGTAAAAATAAAGACATAAATTTACTAAAAATCAAAGGATGGAAAAAATATATCAAGCAAACAGCTACCACAAAAAAAGCAGGAGTGGCAATACTAATAACAGCTAAAATAGATTTTAAAACAAAATCCACCATGAAAGACAAACAAGGGCACTATATAATGATTAAAAGGATGATTTATCATGACGACATAACCATAATAAGTATCTACACACCCAATGACAGGGCTCCAACATACATAAAACAAACTCTAACAGCACTAAAAAAAGAAATTTACAGTTCCACAATAATACTAGGAGAATTCAACACACCACTCTTGGTAAAGGACAGAACATCTAGAAAGAAACTTAACAAAGATACAGAAGAGCTAAAGGACACAATCAGCCAACTTAACCTCATAGACATATATAGAACACTCCACCCAACAGCTACAAAGTACACATTCTTTTCCAACACACATTCCATGTTCTCCCGAACAGACCACATCTGAGGCCACAGAGCAACCCTCAACAAAATCCAAAACACTGAGACAATACAATGTATCTTCTCTGACCACAACGCCATCAAAGTAGAAATTAGCAACAGGAAGAGCAAGGAAAGAAAATCAATTACATGGAAACTGAATAATACCCTGATTACAAACCACGGGTAACAGAAGAAATCAAAGATGGAATCAAAAAATTCCTAGAATCAAATGAGAATGAAAATACTTCATATCAAAAGCTTTGGGACACAGAAAGCACAGTGCTCAGAAGTCAATTTACAGCAATAGATGCACACATCAAAAAAAAAGAAAGGGACAAAATCAAAACACTGGCTACACAACTCAAACAAATAGAAAGAGAGAACAGCAAAAGAAGCCCACAACCACCAGAAGAAAGGAAAAAATAAAGATCAGAGCAGAAACAAATGAAAGAGAGAACAGAAAAACAATAGAAAGAAGCAACAAAACTGAAAGTTGGT